TAATCGTTACTACGATACTTTAAAGTAAGTTAACAACATAGCACATCGCTACACTTGGGTTCAGGTTGTAGTTACTCTTAGAGTTAGCGGATTGTGATCCGCTACACTCGTACTGTATCTAAGTATAGAACAAACGTCACCGACCTTAACCAAGCTTCCTCTAAGCAAATGAGCTACGACAGCCCCATTGCAATCGGTGGGGGTCAGCTCTCCCACAGCCGACACTGCCTAGCTTTAATCACACTCAGCGGCTCATAATCGCGTCGCCGTATTGAGGCAGAGAGCGTGGATTCATCAAGCCCGTGTAGAACAATGAATGTGTATGCAGTCTCTCTGGGATGTTCAAATCATAATATACTCTTCTTCTTGCTTCAACTGTGAACGGTCTGATGCGACACAGCCAAGATTTGGTCCACAAACTTCAAGTGTTTGTAGGTCTCATTGCATTGGAAAAAGTCTGCCCCATATCTTATTCGTGTGTTCCGCCTGTCTCTTAAAAACAAAGGTGTTTGTTTTGGCTCTCAGACATAGCGTCGCTCATCCTGGGCATAACACTCAACTCCCATCGATATAATAGCTGCGAAGTATAGCTGGGCTGATATCAGCAAGTCAATCTAGATCGACAGCCCTTTCCCCACGAAAAGCGTATCTACCTCGTCGCGGTGTCGGCGGCACCTGGGGTTCACCGAACTATTTATGTAAATGAGGCAAAACCTGTATAGGTATGTACTGTGTAATCTAATGCAAACTCAATGAGTTAGTAGAAGTGATTGGCTTACGCCACCAACTTCGGAAGACAGAGACACGTCGGTCTCGTCAACAGTACATAATCCCGCGTAGGAACCAGTATATCACACGGAATGTTTGTGACTTTATGGAGGGTGTAACATATGCATTTGGGAACGCCATGCTGTACTCTTCTTTTTCCTACAATGCGTACAAAACGTACATTTATGTACGTTTTGTACCTTCATGCAATGGCTGCCTATGCGACAAGGAAGTAACTCCCGACGTTAGGGAATGGACCGTCCGGACTTAGAGAAAGTAGAGAGAAAAGAGGAACGACTTGAGGCCTTTAAGGCAAAATTCTAACTGAATTAAAAATGAGTTATGGTTCCTAGCTACATACAAAACACCCCAAGAGCTGCTAAAGGTTTTACTAATAATATCTTGGGCCCCTGACTTATAAAAATTTAAGGTATATTGAGGTTGAACCTCAACTTCAAAATATATAATATCTTGAGTGTACGGAGCTTGAACTTTGAAAAGCTTGAACTTTATCTTTCGTGGAAAGTATCCAGTCTAAGTGACTGGCTCACACCACCCAATTCAAAAGCTTTTACTTTAACTATTGTGGAACTATCTAGGATTAATATTGGCCACACATATATGAATGGGTGAGCAAGTATGTAAGGACTTGTGAGATTTGCCGAAGAGTGATATTATCGGGTTCCACTCAGGCCTCACTTCGGTCGTTGGCAGATCCTACTGACAAATGGAAGTCTGTGAGTATGGACTTTATGTTCGGACTTCCGCGTGATGTACATGGCTGCTGTGGCATCTTTGTGTTAGTGGCCCAATTCAGCAAGATGGCTCTTCTTGTGCTTGCTTCGGATAAGATCTCTGCTAAGAGAACAGCTAAGGTCCTCGTTAACGTTGTTTTCCGTCTGCATGACTTACTGTCGAGTTCGTGTCTGACCGCGACACCCGTTTCAAGTTGGAACGGGTGTCGCACTATCTGGCCTATTGGGCATCAAATTGTGTATGTCAACAGCAGTAGACCCTAAAAATGGACGGTCAGATAGAGCTTGTGAATCGAATCAATGGAGACGTACTATGTCGTTACACTACGTCGTTCAAAGAGTGGAGTGATTTTCTCCCTCTTGCAAAGTTTATGTTGAACAACTCCACGCATGTCTCGATAGTTTATGCGCCATTTTATGTGAACTGTGGTATTCACCTGGAGTACTTGCTTCCACAGTAGGCGAGATTTCCACCTTAAGTGGGAGAGTATTCATGGCTTTAGAACCACAGTCAGACCTAAATACTGTCACAAAGTCAAAAGCGAATTCTGACAAAATGAGACCAATAGACGACATGACAAGTCGTGAGGAACAGCATGTCGACGACTTCATTGTGAAGAGACAAGTAGTTTGCTTTTTGGTCGAGTAGCAATTGCGCAAGATCAGTATCTGCAAAAATTAACAAGCAGATAAGAGCAGATGAGAGAACAAGAAGGCATATAAGACCAATGATCTTGTACTGCTCAATACTTCAAATCAGGTGATTATGCAGTGTCCAACATGGGAAGCAGAAAGCTTTTGTCAAGTTTATTAGACCCTTAAATGTAATATGCAATGGTGATGCGTATTCATTAGCCATCCCAACACGCATGCGCCTACACCCTACACTTTATGTGAGTAGGCTAAAGTAGATTTTTTCAAGTGAATCTGCCAGTCCTATTATACCTTTGATATTGATCGAGATGATCATCACGTATACTCATTTGTCCACGAAGAGCAACAAACTATTCACCCTGACGATCCTTCTCGGCGTATAAGCGTTGAAAAGCATCAAAAAACTGGATTTCTTATTGACACTCTTGAAGGTGAGTATGGTTCTCACTCCAGAGTACCTCGAGAGAAGTACCTGCCTCTTTCACTGTGCACAACATGTGTCTGTGAACAATCTCACAAAACTTCTCGCCTTTCTAAGTCGAATAAGCTCATCATGTACCTGTTGAAACCGTAGCTCAAGATGAGGCTCCAGAGCAGAGCATTGGGCGGAACGATCAGTCAGAACGTAGAGCAACGCTACTGCAATGCCTCAATTTGCCCGCGATGAGCGTTCCTCCACTTCCAGAGTCGCTAAATCGTCTACACGTTTAACTCACATCCGCTTTTAGATTATAGTGGAGGGCGTCGTTTGGTGGTTGAAACGATTGTCGATCACGAATCTCGATCGACTCGTCTTCGTGGAAAGAAGCAGTTTAATCGTCAATGCTTCTACAGCGTTTGGTGGCGCGGATCTCCATCGGAAACGTACACATGGGAACCTCGTCAGGCCCTAGAGTGTGATGTCCCCGACGTGGTTCGCAGCTACGTGAATCGCTCGTGCTGTTGCTAGAGGCAACAGTTCGACGATCAGATTTTTGTTGTGCTACATCGTGACTGGGAGACCTGCCTGCGCCGACTCGGCAAAGCAGACGATCCATCTTGTTCTTGTTTTTGAGGCAAAAGATGTCCGCCATGAGGCAAGCTTAGCTTTGATGGGATGGGCCGGATCAACACGATTGTTGATGGGACACCAACAAAAGAAACATGGTGTTTCATGTAGATTTTCTTGTCTCATTTTTGGTTGAAACGGAGGAAACGTCAAAGAGTTCTAGAACCGTTCTTTGCCGTTTAGGCGAGGAATGTTTTACTATTGTTGGTTCGCTAACTTGATCGCATCATTGTTGCTCGAAAAGCTAGCTGCCCTAAAGGTCTGCGAAAGTATATATGAGATTACTGTTGACTTTCCGAGGGGATGATGTACTAGGTAAGACTGACAACGTTCCCTCACGTTCGAGAAGGCCAACCAAAGTGCTGTTATGGTACTCTATAAAAGACGATGACGCAAATCTTCGTCATTTGAAACATCGAATCTCGCTGTATCCCTGCGTTCAACTGCATAGTACAACAATCCATTGTGTACTCCAAAACGGTGAACACGCGAACTTGTGCGAGACGGAAGATCTTGCAGTGTTTTGTCGGAAGCGTCCTTGAATTACCCCAACAAGTCCTGACATGTCTCATCAAGCTTATACAATTTATTCGCGCACTATAATCGTTGCTTGCACTCTGATTGTCTGAACATCTTTGCAATATCAACATGACTCGAGCATGATTTCGCTCCTGGACTTTGGATCATAATCCGGATGTCTTGACAACGCATCTGCTAAGATGTTCGTCTTGCCTGGCTTGAGTGACATCAAAGTTGTACTCCGCAAAGTAGGGAGCCACCGACCTTTTTCTGTGATAAATAAGGAGTCTTTACTGCCGTACGCTGTGAGGCATGATCTGTATAGATTGCGAAGCGTTTCACTACAAGCAAGTACACACGGAGCCTATCCAAAGCATACTTCACTGCTAGAAGCTCTTTGTCACGAACTGGACAGTTCCATTCCACGGGCTAGTGTTGTCGCGATTGATTCGAAACAACTCGCTCTCGGCCCTCATCGCAGTGTCGCGTCAATTTACAACCGATGGCATAATCACTTGCATCACAGAACCTATAAAAAGGCTCATCGTGGTTTGCAATTGCAAGGAGAAGAGCTTTTTTTCAAGCTCTTCACTTCGGCAAATATCGCCTGGTGACCATCTGACCATTCCGACGTTTTCTTAAGGAAGACAGTCAGGGGCGGCACCAGCGCTGCATAACTGCGCGTGTATGTGTGCAAATAGTCGGCAAAGCCCAACCATTGTCTCAACTGTTTCACGTTGGCAGAAAATCATTGATGACTTTGACTCTCTCCGGATCTAGAGGAAAGACATTCATCCCCCATATAGCAGCCAAGAATGTGGATGTCAGGTGCAAAAAAAGATTTTCAGGTTAGCTTTGAGTTCATTGTCCCGCATATCGTGGAAGACTTGACAAAGATGATCAAGATGAACTTCGACATCAGACTTCTCACTCGTTTTCTTACTATATACGAATAAATCGTCAAGTAGCTCGGTGCAAACTCTTTCAATGGATTGAGAAAATTCGTGACCATTCTGGTGAAAGTGGCGGGAGCGTTGTTCAAACCTTGTT